GGGCGGAGGGGGGTGTAAGCAGCGTTTTGGCAAGTAAGGGGGGATAAATGGCTGCGTTTTGGTGCGAGGAGGGGGTGTCTGGTTGCGGCACAAAGAGATCGTGAGACTTGTCTGACTTGAGGCTTAAACTTAACCTATTTAGAGATCTGTAAACAGGTTAGAGGGCCTGCTTGCCCTGTGTTGCCCGTCTCCAGTTTAATTGTCTGCCACTCGAGCTCAACGCGTACGTCGGGTCAGGTGGCAGTATAGGGAGGACTCTCTCGGTGTATCTTGACCCTGGTTCTAGCTTGACAGTAATTTGAATTGAGGTGTTTGAAACAGCTAGCAAGAACATGAAGCTGCTCCCGTGCCTGCTTTGAAATAAGTGATCCTTGACAGCCATAGGGCTGGCAGAAGAGGACTTCAGCACCTGGATCACTGTTTTTTACACAACTCTGTGTTGGGCTTAACCGCTCTGACGCGCTAGCTTTCTCTGGGAGTGCTGTTGATAGGATACTGCGGAGGAGCAGGGGCATCTGCTAGTCCTCTGTTAAAGTATGTTTTGGTAGTTTAACTTTTAGACCCGGCAGTCGTTGCAGGCTGTTTACAAGTTCAGGCAAGCATGACTTGTGGCCATGCTTGGGTTACAGTGTGGTCGCGTTGTCGTGTCTTTCTGCGTATCCTCAGCTCTTGGAGAGCACTGGTTCCAGTGGAACAGCATCCTTGCAAGCTGGTGCCACTGGTGTTTCCTCTTAGTGCCTTGCCTCGGCCCAGCTCTACGAGAAGTAGTCGGCCTGGGGCATTCACCTGGTCTTTGAGAACGTCAGACTCGTGACTAAATGTCCCCTCTTGCCACCAGCGCTCCTATAACATGAAACCTTTTCTGTTCTGTTGGAAGGGACCTTCAGCCTGTGGTGCCATCCCAAGTTTGAAGACCGCTGCCAGTCTGTGGTGGAGTTCATAAAGAGAGCAATCATGCACTCCAAAAACGGGAAGTTTCTCTACTTCCTCCGATCCAGGGTTCCAGGTGAGTCTCCCACTCTGAGTCTTGGGGGGTGTTTTGCTCTGTGATTAGCTGCTGGTCTGTCCTAGAGAGCCAGTTTAATGTGGCTTTGGTCTGCTGCCCTCAGCGCCCTGGTCTGCATCCTTGCCCACTGACTCCTCAGAAGGATCCTGAGGAGCAGACCTCTCACTCAGCAGCTGCCCCACTTACTCGTGGTGGTAAGGAGACTTCCCAAACCTTTCTTTCCAGGAGTATGGAAATGTGATACCATCTCACGCTATGACAAATGGAGCTGGAGACTGGAAAGCTGCTCCCTCAACAAGCAATTATTTGGCTACTAAAACCCTGCTTTCTTCCCTTCCCCAGCCTCAGTACTGCTGTTCTTATGAACCAGTCCATGCTTTCTAGTTTCCCAGTTTGCCCTTAGCTGAGACCCACCTGGGACTGTCGAGGGGAGAGACATTAAGCTGAGCGTGTGGGAGCGCTTCCAAGTGTGAGCTCAAAGTGAGCCTCAAGCGATAGATACTGTAGATTCAGAGTCCCTGGGGGGGACCGTGATGCCAAAGCCCATCAACAGGCAGGTGCTTGCGAGCAAGGAGGGAGCGTTAGTGAAGCTTTGTTGAAGCATGTTTGATCGCGTGCTGTTGGGATTGCAGAGTGCTTGTTTCCCCATCCATCAAACTCTGGTTCCTTAAATGGGCTCACATCTCCCTCCTGCTAAATCTGGCCAGGCAACTGGACCAGCAGCTTCTGTATCTATTGTTGGTTTTTCTGGTTTTCGCTCGTCTGTCCTGGTGTACCAGAAAGCTAGCCAAAAAATCTGATGTGAAAGGAAGGGAAGAGTCTGCCAAATAGGCAAATATGCCCCTTACTTGTGAGAGAGCAACAGTGGGGGACTGAATTTGGAGGGCGGGTGAGC